GTGTGTGTGTGTGTGTGTGTGAGAGAGAGAGAGGGGAATAAGAAACCGGGGGGCGGCACTTCGATACGGGGTCGTTTGCGCACACAGACACGATGCCAATGCATACCCCCCCCCCCCCGCAACTTCCATTACCTATGTATGACGGTAAACTCGAGGAACACGATGCCAATGCTCATCCTAAAACATCACTACTTCCCATATCTCCAGTAGGACAAACACCCACAAGCACACAATACACCACCAGACGACCTAAATGACGCACGTCTTCGCTTCCTACGGGATCTTTCTTATCTCACCGCCTGCCAACGAGTCGGCTCATATGAGTATAAACAAAAACAGGACTGAACAAAACGCAAACAGAAGTGTCATACTACCGTCTTCACCCGAATACAACGTACGGTCATTATAACTGTATTTGGGCTATCTTTCCGTCTAGATGCAGCAATAATGACCGTACGTTGTATTCGGGTGAAGACAGTAACCCTGATACTAACCCGGTCTCACCAGTGGTGGTCGAGATAACAACGCATACATTTTGTAGGAGAAAACCCTCAGAAAAAAAATGCAGTCACTAAACCACACCTCTAGGACACGACGCGCACCTATCTGATGCAGATGGCACACCTGCAGAACACACGACACGTTCATCGGGCACGTGTGACAACTCCGAGAAAGGAACTTTCCCACAGGAACAGTGTAACAAGCCTACAGGACTACAGCGCCAGTCCGATCTAAAACACTTCGTCCGACCGGTAGGGGTAGTCGGCCGGCACATCAACGTCGGGAGCGCGCGCTCGCTGTTGGCACAGTAAATGCATTCCTCCCTGGAGGGAAACATTCCCGCCGTTCCGCACTGAACGAACAGGTTTCTCTTTTTCCTCCCCGTTAGAAACCTGCTCTTCTAAAAATAAAAAAAAATAAAAAAATAAAAAGACACCTGCTCTTCTCTTTTTCCTTACCGCACCGATTTCCCATTCCCAGGCACCTTTGAGAATCTTACTTCCTGGGAATGGGAAATCGGTGCGGCGAGGAAAGAGAGAAGAGCAGGCACAGTACATGCAGCTTGGGGACGCTGCGCCGCAATGACGAAGTCTCACGAAGTCTGTATCGCATCGAGCCGCCTCCGTGGTGAATCGTGAACGACGATCGCAGCCGTCGGCGTCGATTTGCGGTACGTACATGCACGGCGGATCCACTTTCATGCCAACGCAACGGCAATGAGAGGGAGCACTCCTTCACTCTTCTTTGACTGCCCAATCATCCTCAAGAATGCACATACCCCGCCGACGATGGGTGGGGCAAGGGTCGGGTGGGGCGAGAGATACTTGCGAACACAGGAGCGATGAACGCGAAGACAAGAGAGTGAGAGAAGCCAAATACAGACGGCAGGGATGCCAGAGAACAGAATAGGGACACAGTAGGTAAAGGAAAGCAGAAGAGGAGGAGGAAGGAAAAGGGGAGAAGGAGATACAACACAGATGCAGGACAGAGAAGCGAACAAGAGGAGGGAGCAAGGCGGTGCCGGCTCACGTCCCGACCGGCTGGCCTGGGTTATGAGGGAGGAAGCAAGCCAACTCGCGCCAAGACGAAGCACAGTTCGACTGCGAAAGTATCCGGAGTTAGGGCATGTGATTGCGGCGGATGAGTAGCCGTGCGCACCTGAAATCTTCCCAGAAGATATGATTGGTGCCCCTGTAGAACGCGAGAGGAGATCCTGCCATCTTCTTGAACTTGAAAGCGCGCGCAGCCGGTGGAATCTTCGTATTCCAGCGCTCGATAGCCATCACCACCAGGGCATCTCGCATGTTCCCCCCATCTTCATCCCCTTCCCCCAACCCGAGCGTCAGCGAGGTTGCATTCATCCCTTCTCCTTGGCGAGCGCCAACCTGTCCGTCCGGCGAATGATGATGAAAATCAATCAATCAATCAATCAATTAATCAACCAATCAAAGAATCGATCAATTTGATAGATCGATGGAATCCCGCCAATAGCCGCATCCGTGTGTACCGACTGTGGTGGGGCAACCCTCACTCATTTGGCAATCCCCCCGAACCAACTAACCGGGGTAGTCGACTTGTCACGCTCTGCCCCGAACCCTGCGCACATACCCAGTTGACAGCCCCCGGGCGTAGTAATCGCAGACCCCGTTTCACACCCCTACAGCTCACACGCCCGCATACACAAACAGTGTACACCCTCAGTCGGGCGTTCCCCGGGGATTCCGAAACTTCCCCAGTGCAAGTAGAATATGCCGATTCGACGAGACAAGACGAACCCAAGCGTAATCCTCCTCGGAGTCACGGCAGTACCTATACCTACTATCGTCATTACCGAGGCGTCCCACGCCTCCCCCGTTGCGCTAACCGGCGGTAAGACGTTTGACGGACCGTCGGGCGTAGAGCACGGGCAGGCATGGGCGGGCGGGCGGGCGGGCGGGCGGGCAGGGCGGGCGGGCCGGGCGGACGCTGGCTGGGCCAATGCAATTCCTCTGAAGCGAACCGACTGATAAGCAGACGGACCGGGCGACCAAGAGGAACAACCTCGAACGATTTGAAAGAAGTATATTGACGGACCGGACGCCTGAGAGGAGCGACCGTGACTTGAAAAGGATGACATTGACGGATCGGCTACGAAATATGGGCCTCGCTGCACTACTCTCGAAATGTGCAAAACGAGAGTGAAACTTCCGCTAGAATATGGAAAGATCAAGGGCCATGATTTTTGTCTTTTGAACATTTCGAGAGTAGTGCAGCGAGGCACTATATGTGCAGGTGGACCGAACGAATCGGGAGCAGCAGTACCGGGGTCTCAGGAAATATATGCGCAGGTGGATGGAGCGGATCGGCTGCGGCAGTACCGGGCCCTGCCACTTGCGTTCTCATCTTACGGATGCGCAAAAGGGGAAAAGAACAGCGAAATAGCGGAATGAGAAGAGGAACGCCACGCGCCAGCGCACGCGGGAGAGCTGGCAGGGAACCAATTGAAAAGCACCCGCCCCTGCATTGCCCCAGTCCGACGTGACCATGACATTCAATGGAAAGCTTGTTATCTCACCCTGGCTCAATGACTAAAGCCCCACAGAACACGCCATGGTTAACAGGGGGAATGTTAGCCTCTATTGACTGTTTTTGGGCTGTGGTACAGTTAATGTAAGCTTAGGTAGTTCCTTTCTCAAACCAGGGCACTCGGTTTCTGTTGGCGGTTGCAGTAAACCGTGGGCGGTGGTGGGTGGGAGAGTGCCACTCTCATCCDAAGGAACTTTGGTTCCACTAGACCGTCATAGGTCGAGTACAACAACAATGGTCCAATTGATAGGTCTATTCTCCTCCATGTCTAGTCTCCTCTACCTCTTCCTTCCCCTTCCCACTCAAGACCTTCCTCTTCTTTCCCCAGCTGTGGCGGGCGGCGTCTAGTGTTTCCTGTTTGGGAGACTACCGTTTTTTTTCTCGTTCTTTTTTTTCGGCCTCTTTTGTTTCTCGGTTCGTCGTCCTGGTACACTCCGAATGTACGTGGTTAAACGGCAGTACAGGTGGCGGGAGCCAAACAGATAAGCAGCCAGAGCAAAAACAGAAGGAATGCCTCTGGCCAGATTTTGGACGGGGTTCATTCTGAGATGGAAAAGTGATCCCTATGCCTGGGTGGCGGGAGCCAAACAGCTAAGCCACCAGCGAAAAAGCGAAAAACATGCATTTGGTCAGATTCCGGACGTTGTTCATTCTCGGATGGAGAAAGTAATAAAAAAAATCGAAAAAAAAGAAAAGTAATCCCGCCAGTGCACGTTTGTCTATGCAAATCGACGCTTTGCCTCCCCCTCCCCCCTCTTCCTCTCCCCCTGGGCTCGAAGCCCCCAAAACGGTTCGTTCCTGGCCGGTTGGCTACCTGCCGCCCAACGGGCGGATCCGCCTTTCTTTCTTGTGGAAGGGTCGCCGTTCGCGCCTGTCCGGCTGGTTGCGCCCGGCCCTCGTTGCGGCTTTTTTTTTTCCCCTCTGCAAATAAAATAAATGGATCGCAAAGGGCTACTCAGTCTCTTTTGCAGTATCAAGGGGTATCAGAGGGGGTGTGAGCTCGTGGCTTGCGTTTTACCCTCCCCTCCCCACCCCTTTTTTTTTTTCCTGATCTCCCCCCCTTTTTGTCCTCTAGAATCTTTTTTTTGTGTGTCTTCCCGTCTAAGCCGTCTTTGCGTTTCCGCTTGCTACGACGCCACAACCGGCGCGGCACGGATCCGATCACGAGCAGGTCCAACGTCAAAAACAACAAACATTTGAATTTTTCTTCTTAATTTATTATACTGGATGCTGCCAGCTGGGGCTTATCATACATACCCCCCTCAAGGCCATGGCCAGCCACCCGCGCCACAAAGGGGGCGTGCACCTAGAGGAAGGCATTGGTTTCTGATCACATGGGCCCGCGAAAACCAATTTGCAACCATGACATTCAATGGAAAGCTTGTTATCTC